GCCATAAACAAGTGCCAAAGTCATGCCTATTCTCATTTCAATCTCTTCGTTTTGCAATTTGGTGCCAGACATTTAGCCAAGTTGGAGAGGCATGGGAGTAAATGAATTCTGGTGTTAAATTTCAACTGAATGAAATGTTGGGACAGCTGACACGTCGTCACCGTAGACCACACGACACGTCACACGAGGCATGTGCCGCCGATCGATTCCTACACGCGTCAATGGGGTGTAATTCAACCACAATTTTGTGAGACATGTTTGAGAAACGACGCTTTTTGGTTTTCCTAGCAATCATTCAGGCCGTCGTCCTCCCTACAATTCAGTTCCCCCGCAGCGCCTTTCTCCTGCTTCGGTTCATTCTAGCGATTTGTGCAATTTTTATTCTTCATTACTTTTCCCTTCGACGCTATAAGCACGTCGAAAGACCAAAGCATAGGGAACGGATGGAATTCATAGGAATTAAGGGTGAGTCATGACTTCTCTTCCCTTATTTTCCTAATAATATCTTTTCTGCTTTCTACATTTAACACTCCTTTATTTGCTAGCGTCATCCCGACCAATGTCTCAAATTGCTGCGTTTTAAATGCACATGTGAAGAGAGGTCTGTTTGCCCATATCAGGAGCGCCAGCTTCATGTTCATTCAAATGCATATTTATTCCAACACTTTCTGTAAATCACGTTTACAACAGCTGCATGGGCAGAGAAGTAGATAGAGGAACGAATAAGCAGATAAACAGGTAAAAGAATCAATCAAATGATAACGCGGCACTTTATCATAAAAACTGTTCCGAATTAAATCACCCTGTGCACAGCATCAAAGCTTGGCATCAGTTTATATCAGCACGTTTTATTTCCAAATCCCTCTTTCTTTCCTAAAAATTTCAATCTCCTCATTTACTTTTTTTTCATTTTTAGCTAAACAATTATTGCTTTTTGCTTCCGCCGGTGAGGTCAACTCATCAATACTCTCATCTAAAGTGAGGGGGAGGGATTTACGTAAGAACCGAATTAGAAAGATTTATCAAGAACTAATATTTGCCAATTCCATAGCAATATTTAGGGGTGAGTTGCCAATTTTCTTCTCTCCATGCCCCAATCATCTTGATGGAACTTCACACTACATTTTACAAACACTAAATCAGCAGTGGATGTACTGGATCACGCTTAGTGGCTGAGTCATTTGCCCATTGTAGAACCACCGTAATAAGCTAAGCCACATTGGGCTAGATTAGGCTTAAGTAGGCCAGACCAGACTAAGCTATTTGCTCTATCATTTATACTTCGTAGCTGCTTTCATGCCCCATATACAAATATTGCTCTATTCGCCACTTAAAATGGGCTAGAAAGTTATTGAGGTAAAAGGAGTCTTTCCCACTTTGTCTCGCAGATATTAGGGTACAGTGAACACTGGTAAGGCCAAGCGATATGCTAGGACAGACGAAAGCGGTGGAAACCTCCTGTCTCCTCTTTCGTACGCAAATTCCAGTCCAATGTCACTTCTGTGAGTATCTCATTCTTTTCCTACTGCATTGCCTTTCACGTTATGCATCACCACACCTCATTCTGCATCATGTCTCGACTGCACCCAAAAGATTTCGATAGTCAGATGCATTTACATGCACTTACCTTCCTAATTTGCATTTCATTGAGGTCAGAACTCCTTCCTACTTCACCTCCTGCTTGGTTTTCTCATTTTGACATCTTCCGAAACCAAATCAACTTTCCTCTCATCTCCTTCTTCTGCGTCATTCATCGCCAATGTCATTATGGTGAGTTTGATTTACTTTTGTGTTGTATGTGTCTGCTTCCCCCTTGTCCACTTGCCAGACTCAATACAGATTAGAAAACTCTGCACTTTACTAATAACTGTCTTTTGTCACTCATCGTCTCTTGCCCCTCACTGTGACGGAATTTAGGTTTCCTATTTCTTTCTCCTGCTTTAGCACATCTTAGACCCCACCTGTTCATTCTCTCCTCCTAATATACTCTTGAGAGGGAAGGTGAGTAACTAGATACGATGATAGATTGCAATTCTTTCGATAGTCGAACTTATGCTTACGCCATTGCCCATGTCTATCCTTTGTCCTTTTAGACAGTCGATATACCTGGTCCTTCACAGAAATTAGTATGAATGCACACCTCCATCCTAGTCGTTAGTCTAAGGATGCTCCGTTTGTGTGTGCACGAGTTGGTAACCCGTTAGCATTGTGCATTGAACTCCTCTGCCCTATTTGCTTGCCTCATTGTTTACCATTTAGACAGTCAGACCAAATTGTGCATTACAAAAACGAGAAAGAATGCATGTTCCTCTGTTTGTTGCTTCTTGTTAGTCAAAAATTTTTGTGCAGCTGTACATTTTTATGCGTATACGCATGTGCACTCATCTTCTTTTCCCCTTTAAACTCTTCTGGTCGACCAGTTATCCAGCTTCACTTCGCATCTGGTAAAAACTTGTTCGTTATTTAAATTGGTTATTGGTTGAATTGCACATTGAGCTATTGGTTTTTAATTTGATAATTAATTTTCTGTCTTTTTCTCATCCTTGTCGAGGTTGCAGCTACTAAAACTGCCCTCCAATCCATCCACTGCCCCTCTCCGGAGAGACATGGATGCTGAATGGCAGGAAGAAAAAGGAGCAAATGTGACAGGAAATTGTAGTCTTGTAACTGCAAAGAATTATCTAGAGGAGAAAAAAAAGAGAATGAAGAAAGACGTTATGGGGATGAAGAGTGATGAAAAGCAGCAGGGAAAATAGGGAAAAATTGTGGTCCGGGTCACCGAAAATTGGAGAAATCAGAGCCACCATCGACAGTAAAACCCGACTAAAAATACAGTTATCCATATGGGAAGAGTGAATATAGTATGACATCCTAGGTCAGGAAACCTGAATAATAAAATTTCCTATATGTATGGAATTGCGTTAAGGCGTAATTCTTAGATCCGATTTCCTACGTAGCACTAAAGCAGTCCTGAATTTTGCGGAAGTCAACTTTTCCATCCACTAAGAATTCAATGTAGATATTTCCCGATCAGGAGTATCCTTCATTTGCACTACTGGTTCATACCCCAGTAGTTTGCTTGGGCCTGACGTGATAGTGCTACTTATTGTCAAACCGGAAAAAATGCTCATGTAGGAAAGTCGGAACATTAAATGCACGTGAAAGCTGTACGTGGAAGTATT